TTGCAGGAGTGACACTCCCAGAGGTCGCGGCGATGTTCCCGTTCGTGAAGCGCCAGACCGCACACAAGGGCGAGACGGCAAAGGTGCTCTTGACGAACGACTCGTCCTTCAACGTGTTGATCGATTGCTCGGTGCAGCTCGGAGCGGAGAAAAAAGGTGGGGTGGCCCCAATGAATCACATGGGGAGGGTGTTGCAGACGTTTCTCGAGAACGGCGATGTGGACATGTAAGTGCGCAGAATGTTCATGGTGAGAGATTTGATTTGATTGGCAATGCCTCTGCGGTGGCTCCTTCGAGTGCTCATCCGAGCCGCTGTGCTGCGACGTCGGTGGCTTTTGACGTACGGGTGCACGCATCGGCAACCGCGAGTGCTGGGAGTTCGGGGTCCAGAACTTCGAGGGTGACATCGGCTGGGAGTGCTGCCTTTGAGGCCTGCTTGCCCGCCGCTGCCCAGGCCGCTGCTGTTTCTTCTCTTCTCTTCCTCCTCCTCCTCCTACTCCGACCCCCCCGTTTAAACGAGCCCGCGCTCGTCAGGACGCTTTTCGGGAGTTTTAAAACTCTGGTTTTGGCGATAGCCTGTCTGGATCCGCGGCTCGCCTCCTGGGGTTCAGGAGTTAGTTCGTATCGAATCCTGGGGCTTTGAAGTCTCGTAGGGATGCGGCGGGTTGGAGGCCCGAAACTCGCGGCCGATAGGTCGGCCCTAAGGCGCCATCGCGGTGTGTGAAGTCACTATTTGCCCCCACAGGTGTCTGTTTGTCTGTCCTCCTCCTCCTCCTCCTCGTCCTCCTCCTCCTCCTCCTTCTCCTACTCCTCCTCCTACTCCTACTCCCACTCCTGATTCCTTATTAGAATATACTCTTATTCCCCCCTCTGGCTGGCCGATAGCGGCCCCATCCAGGCCCTCCCATCCGAATTCTAAAAAATCCATGCAACATCGTCGTTGTTTCTCTCGACATGGCCTTCCTTGTCGCCGACGATGCGAAATGCGTAGCAGGAATAGGACGCGGCGCGCATCGCGCGCGGCCGTCAATCCGGACCCTCCCATCCTAACTGTACAAAATCATTTACAAAATCGCTATGTTTCTCTCAACATGGTTTTTCTTGTCGTCGACGATGAGAAATGCGTAGCAGGAATGGGACGCGGCACGCATCGCGCGCGGCCGTCAATGTGGGCCCTCCCATCCGATTTGTAAAACATCAATACAACATCGTCGTTTGTTCTCTCAGCATGGCCTGTCTTGTCGCCGACGATTCGAAATGCGTGGCAGGAGCGGGACGCTGCGCACATCGCGCGCGGCCGTCTGGGGCAACCCCAAGCGGAAGGGGCCATCCTGCCAGTCAAAAACCAATGCAAAGTCGACCTGTCTCTTCTTAACGTGGACTTTCTTGTCGTCGGCGTTGCGAAACGCGTGGCAAGAATGGGGCGCGGCGCGGTCTCGCGCGACAGGACGAAATGTCGCTCTCGCTTTGGCGCCGCGCGCATGCTTTCTGAAAGTTGCGTTCCCGCACAGGCGCAGCGCACGAATTTCGCTGGCCAATTCGTTGGGCGCCTGGGGCTTCCCAGGGCCTCGTGGATTCTCTTGGGGCTTCCTGAGGCTTCCTGGGGCCTCCAGCTCGCCACGCCGTCACAGGACGAAATGTCGCTCTCGCCTGGGCGCCGCGCGCATGTTTTCTGAAAGTTGCGCTCCCGCACAAGCGCAGCGCACATGCGTCGTTCGCCAATTCGTCTGGCGCCCGGGGCCTCCCAGGGCTTCCTGGAACATCCCGGGGCATGATAGTGCCTCCTGGGGCCAGCCCAGAGCCTCGTGGATTCTCCTGGGGCCTCTTGAGGCTTCCTGGGGCCTTCAGCTCGCCAATTCGTCGGGCTTCCCGGGGCCTCCCCAGGGCCTCCCCAAGGCCTCGTGGATTCCCCCGGGGCCTCCTGAGGCCTCCTGGGGTTTTCTAGGATTCCCCGGGGCTTCCTGACACCTCCTAGGGCTTCTTGAAGCCTCATGTGATCTCGCCGTTAAAATGCCAGCGCAGCCTTTGAGACGCGCCAGGAATTCCCCATCGGTAACCGCCATCGCGGCTGCATCAGCTGTGCCAAACCACTTTGCCGATCTGATTTCGGCCCCCAGTTGCGTCAGCAACGTTTCTTATGTTGTGGGAGGCGGTTGGGAATGGGCGTGCCATGCTTGCTTGACTCGCTCGAGCTGGCTTACTTGACTCCTACTCCTACTCCTACTCCTTCTCCTACTCCTACTCCTACTCCTACTCCTATCCTTATTCCTTATTGGAATATACTCCTACTCCCCCCTCAGGCCGGCCATTAGGGGCCGCATCCGGGGGGTCCCATCCTAACCTGTAAAAAACAATACAAAATCAACATTTTTCTTATTTTTTCCTCTCGACATGGACGTCCTGTCGTCCACGGCGATAATCCATTGCAAAAAATACCACAAAGAGCACACGCGCGCGTTCATGTCAGAATCCTACCGAACACCGTGTGTTTGCAAGCATTTCAACATAAAAACATCAAAAACCCAATGCTTTTTCACAAAAATTGTACAAATTTCCAGCCCGGGCTCTCTTGCTGAAATCATAGGAAAACCATAGGAATCTTAAGAATTCTGTCGAATCCAGCGATTTCACGTCATCGCGCGGTGCACTCGCGATGCTCTGTCATGCACCCAGGCCGCGAATCCTGTGCAAAAAATACCACAAAGAGCACACTCGCGCGTTCATGTCAGAATCCTACCGAACACCGTGTGTTTGCAAGCATTTCAACATAAAAACATCAAAAACCCAATGTTTTTTCACAAAAATGCTTTGGGGTGTCCTGTCAGACCGTCGGGCTTCCTCCGGCCACCTCTGGCTTCCTGCGGTGTACCGGGCCATTCTCGACTCGTCTGGCAATGCGTGCGCGGCATTCAACATGCGCTCGCCAGTTCCCGTCGGCAACCGCCATCGCGGCCGCATCAGCTGTACCAAACCGGCTGGCCGGTGTGACTTCGGTCCCCCAGTTGTGCCAGCTTTGCTTCTTATGTTGTGGGAGGGCGGGTGGGACTGGGCATGCCATGCTTGACTCGCTCGAGCTGGCTAGCTTGACTCCTACTCCTACTCTTACTCCTCCTCCTCCTCCTCCTCCTCCTCCTCCTCCTCTTCCTCCTCCTCCATGTTTTCCTCCTCCTCCTATTCCTACTCCTACTCCAATTCCTACTCCTCCTCCTACTCCTACTCCTACTCCTACTCCTACTCCTCCTCCCCTCCCCCTCCACCTCCTCCTCCTTCCTCCTCTTCCTCCTTCATCTCCTCCTTCCCCTCCCCCTCCCCCTCCCCCTCCCCCTCCCCCTCCCCTCTCCTCCTCCTCCTCCTCCTCCTCCTCCTCCTCCTCCTCCTCCTCCTCCTCCTCCTCTTCCTCCTCCATATCTTCATACTCCTATCCTACTCCTACTCCTACTCCTACCTACTCCTCCCCCTCCCCCGCCCTCGCCCTCCTCCTCTCCTCCTCCTTCTCCTCCTTCTTCCTCCCTCCTGCTCCTGCTCCTGCTTCTCCTCCTCCTCCTCCTCCTCCTCCTCCTCCTCCTCCTCCTCCGCCTCCTCTTCCTCCTCCTCCTCCTCCTCGCCGCGTCGCCTACGGCACAGGGGGAAATCGTCCAGTTGGGACTACTCGGGGGGCCTGTCGGGGCCAGCAGGGACTGCCTGGGTGGCTGTCTGTGCGCAGCCCGAAGCCACACCACGCCTCCTGTCCGAGCGCGGCAAGGCTGCCGGCGTTGAGAAAGCCAAGACCTTGGATGTCCATGTCTGGCTCTGCCGCCCCGCGCGGGCGCCCTCCCGCCCCGCTGCCTGGTTTGCCTAGGCCTATCGATCCGGTCACCCCCATTCGTGGCCCGATGCTTCCGCGGCGCTGTTGCGGAGCGGTGTGTGGGAGGGTGGCGGGGGGGGGTCGGGGGAGGCGTGGAAGTGTGAGCCGCGCAAAATGGACCGATACCAGTCCGACTTGTGCAGCTCGCTGGGCGGGCGCTGACGAGCCGCGCAGAACGGACCCTTAGCTGTCCGATTTGCGCAGCTGGCTGGGCGGGGGCTCGCCGCGCCAACGGACCTCTAACGCTCCGATTTGCGCAGCGTGCTGGGCGGGGGGGGGCTGGCGGGGGGAGGCGTGGGAGTGGAGCGGCGGGACGGCGGTGAGTGTGTGGCGTGCGTGGCGTTACCCGGGCGGCGCCGATCCGACGCGGTGTCGGTTCCGTGCCGACGCGGCCTGATCCAGCGCGCATCCTCGCCGGGCCCGCGGTGCAGGACCGGATGACATCGCTCTGTAGAGCGCTGGGGAGCGCTGTGGGACGGCCGCGGCGCCCGATGCATCTTCCAGGGCCGTTGGGTCTCGGAGGTCGCCCCGCGCGCCCTGGTCCGCAGTTGGCCATGTGCCTTGGCTTCGCAGTGCCGGAGCCGGGCGTGGCGTGATTGGGGGCGACAGTTGCGGGGTCGGGGGGTCGGAGCGAGAGCTGCGGGCGGGGCGGGGCCACAGAGGGGCCGCCCGGGGCCCCCGAGGTGTACGGCAGTGTGCGCCTGTTGTTTACCCCTCCGTTCCCATACATGTTCTGTCGCAGCGCGCAGGACGACGCCATCCGCGCGCGCGCTTCAGTAGTCAGGGACACGCGGCGTATCAATCAACCGGAAGTTGAAGCAAGAGGCGGAGGCGGAGAGAGGACGGCTGCGGAGGACAGGCGGGGAAGGTGGGCACTCACCACGGGAGGCCATTCACCACCGAAGGGCACTTACCACGGAAGGGGAGGCACTCACCCCCGCTCCCAAACACGCGATGTCTTGTCTTTTCGATGCGCCCCCCCCCCCACACCCCCGGAAGCCCCGACCGTTCCCGACCCTTCCCCCTTACCGAGTCGTTCCTGGACGGTCCCGAGCCCAGCCAGGGCCCCAGGAGGCGACGTGTGTAGAAAAGGCGCCTCCCGCCATGAGATCTTCACGCCGCGAGGGCCCCCCCCCCCCTTGAGCAACGCCCGTAGGAGACCCTGATCTGGGCCGTGCAGACCGCGCACTTCGTGGAGGCCGCGCGACCGCCGTGCCGTGCCCCCCCCCCCGGCACCGGGTCGGCGCCACGGTCTGCTCTCGAGCCGCTCGGGCCGGAACGGAAAGGAGGGGCGACTGCGAAACTGACTCGAGGTTCTCGTGGGAAGGGTCCTCCTCCTCCTGCGCCTTCCCCTCCTCCTTGTTTCCTTCTCCTCCTCCTCCTCCTCCTCCGCCTCCCTCCCAAGTACCTCCCGGACCCCAGAGCCCTCCCTCTCTCCCCTCCGTCCCGCCCCCAAGGCTGCGGGCCAGGTCCCGTGCGTCGTCTCTCGGCGGGCGCGCCTCGCCGAAGGGAAGGTTCAAAACTCACTTTTTTCGACGCCACGGCCTCCGCGCTATGACATGATGGCCACGGGCGGGCTCCCTTGCGGAGCGCCCACGAATTTGCGTTCGCTTCGTTTCGCTTCCCAGAGGAGGAGGAGGAGGAGGAGGAGGAGAGAATTGTGATGATGATGATGATGATGATGATGACGACGATGACGATGACGATGACGATGACGATGACGATGACGATGATGATGATGATGATGATGATGATGATGATGATGATGATGATGATGATGATGATGGTGATGGTGATGGTGATGGTGGTGGTGGTGATGATGATGGTGATGATGATGATGATGATGATGATGATGATGATGATGGTGGTGGTGGTGGTGGTGATGATGATGCTGATGATGAGGAGGAGGAGGACCAGTGCAAGCCCAAGAGTCATTAACGATGTTGGAATTATCCCTCCCTCCGAGCTCCCTCTTCATGGGTCCCTACACCGGCTCATGTCCATTGAGGGAACTGCCTCGTTGGAAGACAACCGTTTGAAGATCTTGAAGCATGCCATAGCATTGTCCTCGGGGATTTCAATGCCACGGATCAACCTGACTGCTGCGTCTTGACGATCAGGAATCGCGCCAGAACGCCAGCTCTGGGGTTTCAACACCGCAGATCAATATAATTGTTGCACCCGCATAATCCTGAATCCTTCCAAACACCATTTCTGGTACGTTGATCATGGGAATTCGTGAAGGTCTTACAAATGTTTAGAACGAATGTGCGCGGTGCTAAGGCGAGAACCACATTTTGAAAGCCACCCGCCCGCAATCCGTGAAGCTCGTGCAAATGTTTAAACGAATGTGCGCGGCGCTAAAGCGAGAGCCACATTCTTAAAACGACCGCCCTCAATCCGTGAAGTTCTTGCAAATGTTTAGAACGAATGTGCGCGGCGCTATGGTGAGAGTCACATTTTGAAAAGGAACCGTCCTCAATCCGTGAAGCTCTTGCAAGTGTTTGGGACGAATGTGCGCGGCGCGAAGGCGAGAGCCACACTTTGAAAACCACCCGCCCGCAATCCGTGAAGCTCTTGCAAATGTTTAAAACGAATGTGCGCGGCGCTAAAGCGAGAGTCACATGTTTAAAACGACCACTCTCAATCCGTGAAACTCTTGCAAATGTTTAAACCGAATGTGCGCGGCGCTAAGGCGAGAGCCACATTTGGAAAATCACCCGCCCTCAATCCGTGAAGCTTTTGCAATGTTTAAATGAATGAGCGCGGCGCTAAGGCGAGAGCCACATTTCGAAAACGTCCCGCCCTCAATCCGTGAAGCTCTTGTAAATGTCTAAAGCGACTGTGCGCGGCGCTGAGGCGAGATCCACATTGTGAAAACCACCCGCCCTCCATCTGTGGAACTGTTGCCATATTTTAAGCTTCAGAGTCATACATGGTGGGGAAGTCTCAGGCGAAACGCCCGGCCCGCCCTAAAAATTTGCCTCGGGGTGCGACAGGGAGAAATCATGTATAAGGAAAAGGAATGGAGGAGGAGGAGGAGGAGGAGGAAGAGGAGGAGGAGGACGAGGAGGAGGAGGAGGAGGCAAGTGTGATACGGAAATCGGCTCGGGTTCGTCGGGCCTTTGTGTTCGCCAGCATCCCGCCCCCGCAGCAGGGGGAGGAGAGGGCAGGGCATGGCGATGGGCGGGGAGGCGATGGTTGAGGCAGGGCAGGGGATGAGAAGTCCGGGCGACGGAGCGGAGGGGAGGGGAAGACGACGACGACGACAACGACGACGACGACGGCGACGAAATAGGAGGGACAACGACGAAACGCCGACGACGACGAGGGAGGAAGGACGACCACGGCGACCACGACGACGGTAACGACGACGACGACGAGGAAAGACAGAGGACGACGACGGCGACGACGACGACGACGAGGGAGGAGGGAGGGGACACAAGGAGGGAGGGAATTCGAGAGGGAAGGCGGAGACGGGAGGGCGAAGGAGGACGGGGACAGAGGAGGACGAGGGGGGGTGCTCCGCACGGTAGCCCCCGCGCGCAACGCACCGCTCGTGCCGCGATCCAGTCAGCAATGGCTTTCCCCTCGTTCTTGCTTCCCCCCCCCCCTGCCAGGGTCCATCCATCCGGCTCGATGCCGATTCCGGCCGGCCCGATCCGTTTCGATCCCGACGTTGCGACGGTCCGATACGGCCCGAAGTCTGCATGGCGGTGCCGTGACACCTTCTCGCGGCCGATCCCGATTCGATTCCGGCCCCGTGCCGATGCGGCCCGGTCCAGTGCGCATTCCGCGGCGAGCCGTTGGGCGTCGCGTGAAGGGGGGCGATGAGTGGGGGGCAGCGAGGGCTGCCGAAAAGGGCCCCTCTCTTCTGAGGGCCCCTGACGGGGCCCTCTGGGGCGTGAAAAGTTCACCTTTCTTCTTCCCCCCCCCTCATTTATCGCCCCGGCATTGCGCGACGCCCAAGAGCCGATTCTCGATCCGATGTGGATTCAGGAGGGAAAGAAACACAGACACAACGAATCGTCGATTCCCCGGAAAATATTGGAAAACATTGAAAATTGAAGGAAAGACGAAGTTCCAGAAAATTTTGGAAAATGGGGGACCTTGGGATCTGTGTCTATTTATTTGTGTCCCTGAGCCTCTTCAGTGTTGATTGATCCCTTCTCTGCGCCTGGGCAGTGCATCGGACGCACGGCCTGAGGCCCCCCCCTTTGCTTTGGTCGGCTGGCGGGGCGCAAGATGGCCCAGGGCTTTCTGTCCGCCGCAGGACGACGACGACGACGACGGACGACGACGACGACGACGACGACGACGGACGACGACGACGACGACGACGACGACGACGACGACGACGACCGACGACCGACGACCGATGATCCGATGATCGACGCACGACGCACGACGTCTTCGTCGTCGTCGTCCAGGACCCAAACGGTGGTTTGAGGATTTCGAGTGCGTTTTATGTTGACCCTGAGATGTTCTATGCCGACCCTGGCACCTGGGGACTCGAGCCAGCCCGGCCGCCCGGGCACGCGCACCGCTGCCACGCCTCGCTGCCCACCACGACACCCCTCCTCCATGCTCCTCCTCTTCCTCCTCATCCCTTCCCCCCCTCCTCCTTTGCGCGTCCTGCCGTGCGAATGCGGAGCTCTCCTCTTCATCCCTTCCCTGTTCCAGCCTTTCAGGGGATCGCTTCGTCTTGCGCGGGCCTGCTCGAAGCGCCTCCGGCTCACCAGGTCCAGATCGGATGCGCCTCCAGCATGCAACGACACCGCGCGAGCATTTTGCCTGCATTGTCTTCGCTGGGCCAGCTCGTAACTACAGCACAAGATCGTCGTCGTTTGTCATGGCCCGTTCGCCGAGGAAGGACACATCTTCCCCTCCTCCCGCGCCCTTCTGGGGACTCCAGAACCTGGCCGGCCGCCCGCGACAGCCTGGTCGAGGTCCAACTTCTCGCAGCGACTCTGGCCCGAGGGACCAGCGGGGGCCGCCGATCCCGCGGTCCCCTGCCAAAGGGCTCCCCCCCGCCCGCTCCTCCTCCTCCTCCTCCTCCTCCTCCTCCTCCTCCTCCGCCTCCTCCCTGGGCGTGAGCAAACGGTTGCTCGAGGGGAGTTCTTCTGCTTTCTCACATGCCTCTGTCGGTCAGGCGGCCGAGTTTGCTATATCACTGATAATTCTAATGTTCACGATGGTTGGTTTGAACGCAGATGGGTCAGACCCGCAGGCCCAGACGCCGACCTTTGGTGGTTGGTTGGGCTCGAGGTCCAGAAGCGAGGTCTCCCAGCTTGCTCGGTTCTCTTCACCCACTCCCACCTCAGTGCCGAGGACATTGTAAGTACAGCGCCGCGCACCTAGGCTCCTAGTCCATGGCAACACCATCGCAGACGAGCTAGCAGTGGAAGGAGCCACACTGGCTCGCCTCCCCGAGAATGTGCGTGCACGCATACAGCAGAATGAGCACACAGCTTTCGCAGTCCGCATGCGTATCCTTCATGGCACCCTTGAGGCACTCAAGGTGAAGAATCGAAGTGCCTGCGGTCGGGACTTAAGCGTAGGCAGCCTGCTGTTGTTGTCTGGCCCCCATCGGCCAGCGTGTGTGTCACCTTCTCTAGCCAACATTGCCTTGCAAGCTCTAAGAGCGGCAACAGGTGTCGGGGGTCCGCGTCCGTTGCCACCAGGGCATCATGGCTCCAGACTCCTTGCGCTAACCTGGTTAACGTCGATGGCATCCTCTTGAGGCCTCCCTCAGGGCACAGAGTGTACATCTCGTGGGGTATGTGCATTTTCTACGTAACGTATTCTTTCACACGGGGCTTCAGCTTTGGTGTTGTGATTCCTGCGGCTGCTATGCATCACAGCAGTTGTGTAAGTTCGGAAGTGCATGTGCCCATGCTGTCTCAGGTAATCGCACGGACTACCTCAATAATAGCAGCCGCGGCATTTGGCCAAAGGTTCTCAGCAGAGCGGAACGAGCCAAGCGGTCGAGGCATGAAGCAGCAGCTGGGAAACAGTTGCTTCCAGAGTACCCGACACTGCCGCCATACTCATAGCTCCATAGCTCAGCGTCGAGCTCCTCCTCCCTCTCCTCCTTCTCCTTCTCCGCGTCGAGCTCCTCCTTCTCCCTCTCCTCCTCCTCCTCCTCCTCCTCCTCCTCCTCCTTCTTCTCCTCCTCCTCCTCCTCCTCTTCCCTCTCTTTCTCCTCCTCGCTTTCACGTTAGACCGACGGTCGGTGCGAGCCTGTTGCGTTTGGGAGATGCAGCATGGAAAAACTAAGGTACGATTCGAGTCAAAACGGTACCTGGTGTGCGCCGCGGAAAATGATGTAAAATGAGACGATGGAAAAGAGTAGACAAGTGAGTAGGCGCCCACCAAATCTAAGGGCAGCTCTGGTACCTTAGTACGGTGGAGGCGTGTGTTAAGGAACAGTCCCAGGAGGCGCCAGACCCCGGAGGATTCCTTATCCAATGACGGTGGCCACGACTGGAGTTCCACTGGCTTCCAGACCCTGGGTTCCTTATCTACGGGTTCCTTATCCAATGCCCACACCTTATCCTCTCCTCTGGTAAGCATGGTACAGATCATCCCCCTCTAGGTACATGTTGCGAACAGTGCAAAGGTAAACAAGACAGAAAGTGGTCTCCACCGCCACTTCTAAACCTCGGCTGGTAGCAGTCAACACGCATGCTGTAGATAATACGCTCTGCGCAAGCTGCTTTGCTGGGGCCTCTGCGAGGGCAGACTGCTCACGTATAGCCTGGTGCAAGAAAACCAAGTGAGTGTGTGAGGGCTTTGTCTGTGCGCTGCAGGAGGGCGTTTAAGGTTATCCCTAACCTGTGACAAAAGATGCAATATTTGGGCTGCTACCCAGGGTTTTGTGGGGTAGCCCCGAACCTATGTAGCAAGTACCTCTCCGATGCCACCGCAGAATAAAAGTAATGGCCTCCGCCTCCACGAGTAGCAAAGTGTGAGTGCCATTCTTGCAGCCTGGCTGTGTCCGAGGCTGCATGTGTAAGTGTGCACTGTGCGCTGCTGGCTGTCGGCGCAATGTGCACCGAAAAAGAATGGCAGTCGCTGAAGTAGTGCTGCCTGGCTGTGTCCGAGGCTGCGTGCGCGATGAGGTGTTGAAGGTTACCCCTTAATCTCAGAAGTAAAGAGCGTGCAATAGTTGGGCTGCTACCCAGGGTTGTGTAGGTTAACCCTGAACCTGAGAGGGGGGTGTTCACGAAGATGCGAATACGGAGGAAGGAGGACAATGGAGATGTGCACGCGAATGAAACAGGGCAATCCTAGGGCTGCTACCCCGGGTGTTGTAGGCGAACCCATATTTTTTATTAGTACGTAACACAGAACATGCTGTAGTTATAGTTCGAAAGTACTCCGTACGCTACAAGAGGATTGTTGAGGTATACCCCTAACCCGTGAAACAAAGCAGGCGTGCAACAGTTGGTTTGCTACCCAGGGTTTTGCAGGGCATCCCCGAACCTATGTGGTGAGTTCCTTCTCCGATGCCACCGGATGAAGTAATAAGCCTCCGCCTCTACGGGTAGCAAAGTGAGAGTACCATGTTTGTGTCCGAGGTTGCATGCGTAGGTGTGCTCTGTGCGCTGCAAGCTGTCGGTACATGCGTGCTGAACACATTGACAGCCGCTTAAACAGTGCTGCCTGGCTGAGCCCGAGGCTGCGTGAGCGATGGGGTGTTGAAGGTTACCCCTTAATCTCAGAAGTAAAGAGCGTGCAATAGTTGGGCTGCTACCCAGGGTTGTGTAGGATAATCCCGAGCCTGAGGGGAGTTCCACAAGGAAGCGAATAAGGCGGAAGGAGGACAGGGAAGATGTGTACGGGCAATCCCAGGCTGTTACCCAGGGTTTTGTAGGCGAGCCCCCCAACCTGTTATGGGTAAATTCTACTTACCGAAGGTCTGAGCAGCACAGCCTGGGCGAGGTTCAACCTCTCGCAGCGACTCTGGCCCGAGGGGCCAGCGGGGGCCGCGGGTCCCGCGGCCCCCTGCCAAAGGGCTCCCCCCCGCCCGCTCCTCCTCCTCCTCCTCCTCCTCCTCCTCCTCCTCCTCCTCATCCTCCTTTTCCTCCTCCTCCGCGTCGAGCTCCTCCTCCTCCCTCTCCTTCTCCTCCTTTTCCTCCGTCTCCCGTCGAGCTCTCTCCTCCTCTTCCTCCTCCTTCTCCTCCTGCTATTCCTCCTCCTCCCTCCTTCTCACCCTCCTTTCCCTCATCGAGCTCATCGTCCCTCCCCCTCATCGAGCTTCTCCGCCCTCCCTCCTTCTCACTATTATCCTCCTCCTTCCTCTGCTCCTGCTCGTCCCCTCGTTCCGTCCGCTCCTCTTGCTCCTCCTCCAGCTCCTAGTCGAACTCCAGCTATCTCCCCTCCTCTCGCCTTTATCGTCCTCTTTCTCCTCATCCTCATCCTCATCCTCATCCTTATCATCACCACCATCATCAGCAGTATCCTCATCAGCGTCATAATCGTCAACAAGATCAGCATCAACACCATCAGCATCCTCATCATCATCATCATCATCATCATCATCATCATCATCATCATCATCATCATCATCATAACCAGCCTCATCGTTATCATCATCAGCATCATCATCATCCAAATCATCAGAATCATCATCATCATCATCATCAGCAGCAGCAGCAGCAGTATCGTCATCATCCGCATCGTCATCACCATCACCATCAACATCATCATCAGCAGCATCATCAGCATCATCATCACCATCACCAACAGCATAGTCATCATCATCACCAACAGCATCATCATCAGCATCACCACCACCATCATCATCATCATCATCAGCAGCAGCAACAGCAACATCATCGTCATCATCATCAGCATCATCAGCATCATCATCAGCATCAGCATCAGCATCATCATCATTATCAGCATCATCATCATCATCATCATCAGCATCATCATCATCATCATCGTCATCATAATCATCATCATCATCATCATCATCATCATCATCATCATCATCATCATCATCATCATCATCATCATCATCATCGTCAGCAGCAGCATCATCATCATCATCATCATCAGCAGCATCATCACCCCCTCCTCTTCCTCCTCCTCGTCCTCCTCCTCCACCTCCCGCCTCATCTCCCCCTCTCTCCCCCAGCCTTCTTCTTCCAGAATTGACTAGACTGTGGATTCCAGTGTATTCCAGTGAGTTCCAGCGAATTCATCCTTGCTCCTCCTCCTCCTTTTTCTCCTCATCCTCCTCCACAGTTGCACAATGTGAATGCTACTCTCTCCTCGCTCCCCTGATGACGTCCAGAAGATGCCCGGCCCCCCTCCGCGTACAGTTTTTTACACTGGATTCTCGGGAAATTGGTTTTCGCTCGGTTTTGTTCCCACCAAAATGCTGCTCCGCTGCAGCGCTGGCCCTATTTTCGGGCTTCCGCTCGTTCCGAATCGTGCTCCCGCTTCAGCGCTGGCCTCATTTCTGCGCTTCCGTTCGTTCCGAATCGTGGTCCCGCTGCAGCGCTGGCGTGATGATTTCCAGTGCCATGCCACGGCATGATTTTCGGTTCTTCCAAGTGGGCCCCACAATCTAGAAAATGGTTTCCCGAACAACTATCGGATGTGATAACACATTCGGTGTCGATTCGTTGATTTATTGGGCCGCAGAAGCCCCCTCCCACTTTGGGGTGTCGCCACGCCATGCTATGTCATGCTACGCGTTGATCTTCAACACCATGCTATACCATGTAATGCTATGCCATGCCACGACATCCGATTGTGCGAACAGAGAGGAGATCTACGACATGGTAAGGGATGGGAGGGAGGGGTAGGACGCCAGACATGACGCGAGCGTACCTAGCTTGTCCTTCCCCCTCGTCCTCACCCTCCCATACCTCCATCCACATCACCGCCCTCCTCCCCCACCGCCAGAGCAACCGCTCCGCTCGCACTCGCGCAGCCATGTATGGGGCCCCCACCGGCATGAAAGGCGGCGGCCCGCAGTGTGGCGGCCAGGGCTTCGTCGCCTACGACGGGAGCCAGCAGTACGGCGGCCAGGGCGGCTGCGGCGGGTGCGGCTGCTGCGGCGGCGGCTGCGGCGGCGGCTGCGGCGGCTGCGGCGGCGGCGGCTGCGGCGGCGGCTGCGGCGGCGGCTACGCCGGCGGCTGCGGCGGCGGCTACGCTGGCGGCTGCGGGGGCGGCTGCGGGGGCGGCAACAGCGGCGGCACTGGCGCCTATGGCGGCGCCAGCTACGGTGGAGGCGGCGCCTACGGAAGCAACGCCGCCGGTTACGGCGGCGGCTATGCTGGCTATAGCGGCAATGCTGGCGGCTACGGCGGCAGCGCTAGTTACGGCGGCGGCGGTGCCGGGTACGGCGGGTACGGGGGGGAGGGCCACAACGGCCAGCAAGGCGGCTGGGACGGCGGAGCGGGGTATGGCGATGAGGGGGGCTACGGCTTGTGGCAAGAGTACTCTGTCGGGAACGTGCCAGAGTACCAGGCCGAGTCCCTGTGGCAACAGGTCGGGCGGGGCTGGGACGAGAATACATCCGTTCCAGAGCATTCTGGAACCCTCTGAGAGCTGCCTAGAGCGCTCTGAGAAGGCCGCGGCGCCCGAGACATCCCCCAGAGCCGCTGGCTCACCAGATTTTACCCTCGTCCTGGCTTCGACTTCAGCAGGAGGCGGATGGCGAAGGCATGGCGGAGGTCCACGTCTTCGGGCCCGCGGGCGAGCAGGTCCCCGCGGCACTGACCACGTTCGCGCAGGCGTCCGTGCTGTTCCCCGAGCAGCTGGTACAGGTCGGGGGCGAGCCCGGGGGGAAGTGAGAGGGGGGTCCTCCTCCTCCTCCTCCTCCTCCTCCTCCTCCTCCTCCTCCTTCTCCTCTCCTCCTCCTCCTCCTCCTCCTCCTCCTCCCCCTCCCCCTCCTCCTCCTCCTCCTAATCCTCCTCTCCTCCTCCTCCTCCTCTTCCTCCTCCTCCTCCTCCTCCTCCTCCTCCTCCTCCTCCTCCTCTCCTCCTCCTCCTCCTCCTCCTCCTCCTCCTGGTCCTCCTCCCCCTCCTCCTCCTCCTCCTCCCCCTCCTCCTCCCCCTCCTTCTCCTCCCCCTCCTCCTCCTCCTCCTCCGCTTCCTCCTCCTCCTCCTCCTCCGCCTCCTCCTCCTCCACCCTTCCCTCGTTTACCCTTGTTCGGTCTCCTGGGAGGCCCTCGTCGCCACCGCTGGATTCGCCTCGAAGTTCTGGTCAGAACGCACATCGGGAGAGGTCCAGGGAGTAGCGGTATAGGTACTTTTTGGTTTCCCCAGAGTGAGATCAGGAGCAACGATCGGGGGGGGGAGAGGTAGGCATAGGGGTGGACACATCGACGCCCAATCGCCGATTGATCGCCGATAGGGGCCAGATAACCCGAACCTGCCAGGGACGAGCGGGTCAACTTTCGGCGGCCTCTCGCCGATCTATCGGCGATGCATCGCCGAGTCCAGGTCGTTGTGTCCCCCGTGTGTGCCAGCCCCCGCCCGATAGCTGCCCCGCCTCGGCGGGGGAAGGCCTCCTCGGGAGGCGGCGGAGGGCTCCTCGGAAGGCCTCGCGCCTTGGAGGCGCCGCCCGCGCCTGCGGAGCGGCTGCTCGGAGGGCCGGCGGCCTGTGGGTCCGCCCCCCTCGGCTCTTCCCCCCCGGGGGCTCGCCGCCGCGCAGGGGCTGCAGGCGGCGGGCTTCGTCGCCCCGACGCCCATTCAGGCGCACACCTCGTCGCTCTGTCGCCTCCCCTCTCGTTTTCCTCCTCCTCCTCCCCCTCGTCCTCCTCCCCCTCCTCCTCCTCCTCCTCCTCCTCCTCCTCCTCCTCCTCCTCCTCCTCCTCCTCCTCCTCGCCCCATCCAACTTATGGTGGTGGTGGTGGAAAACGCGCTCATCACTGTCCTCCCGCTTTGTCGTTTCTGCGCTTTGGGGTTGTCGTTGCGTCCCCCTCGGCGTCGTCTTCCTCCTCCTCCTCCCTCGTTCCCTCGTCGCCCTCCGAAAAGAACGAAATCCGTCGTAGCGCTCGGCGGGTGGAAAGAAAACAAAAAAAAAAAAAGGCGCACACCTGGGCCATCGCCGCGGCCGGCAGGGACCTGATAGGCATCGCCAAGACCGGCAGCGGGAAGACGCTGGCGTTCCTGCTGCCCGCCTTCGTGAAGATCCTCCAGGCTCCGCCGCGGGGCTCATGTCGACGCCTCGCCGACTCGGTTCGATTCGGTGTCGGTCGCCTCCGGTTCAGATTCGGTTCGGGTTCGGGTCCCGAGTGTGATTTCGGCTTGTCAATGGAGGCCTGGCCAGCCTGCCGAGTTCCGCCGATTCGACTGCTCCCGACTTGGCTGCCGATTTGTGCCGATCCGATTCAGTTCGATCGCTCATCCGACTCATCGATTCGAATGTGTGCCCTCCCGCCACCGCGGGGGGTATATCACAGATGGTGCTAAAGCAGATGGGCTTGGAGGATCGCGCCGCAGCGCCGATGCGGCTCGATGTGGACCAGATTGTCTCCACGCCGACGTCGCCGAAGCATCGCCGACGTCGCCACTGCATCGCCGATGCGGCTTGACCCTCCGACCACATCTATTCTGCTTCTTAGAGGCCTCCAACGTCCATGTTAAGGAGAGGAAAAACACACAGACACAAACAATTGTCGATGCCCAGGAACATATTAGTAGATATGTGAGGTGGAAGGGAAGTTGAACCTCCAGAAAACATAAGAAAATATGTGGAATCTTGGGATTTGTGTCCATTTATTTGTGTGTCCCTGGGCCCCTTCACACATGCACTGCCGCGGTGTCGTTCCCCAGGGCCCCAGGGCGGAACCTCTGGAGGTTGTGGGTGAGGATGTTTCGCTGCGGTGCGTTCGAGTCAACAAACCAAGTGGGCGACGCCAAAAAACGGGGCCGTCTGCGCCGACACTGGCGCGCAAGCTGCTCGCGCAGGGTCGCACGTGAGCGCCCTCGTTTCCACTGCAGCGTGCCGCGCTGGCGGCCCGCGTACGCCGTCGCGTGAGGTGGCGGTGTCCTCACATGCTAACATGTTCCCATCCCTCATCCTCCCCCTCCTACCTCCTCCTCCTCCTCCTCCTCCTCCTCCTCCTCCTCCTCCTCATCGCTGTAAGGATTACGACCCTTTTGTGATCGTCGCTCACGTGCTAAAGCAGTTCTGTTCGGAGGCCCGCGCGGGTTTCTTGCTTCGGCGTCGGACTGCCCTCTGGCCTCTGTCGCGCTCACTGCGCCATGGGTGAGGTGGCCCAGCGCCGACTGGAGAACAGGGCTCGAGCTAGACAGTGTTTTTTTTTCGTCGTGGACCGTTTTCTGTTTGATTTCGTTTCGCAGCACAGGCATAACGAAGCCAGAACGAGGAAAGCCGAAAATAGAAAGGGAACGAAAAGCACCGTTTAGCTCGAGCCCTGCTGGAGAAGTCCGCACGGGCCTCTGGAATAATGCTGCATTGCTCAGATCGGCCATGCGCAGGCGGGGTTTGGGGGGTTAGTGGGGAAGGCTTCTTTGAAGCATTCCCTGCTTCTTAGAAGGCGCGGGCCTTGTCTGTAGATGGAGGACCGGCGCCTTCTGAGAAGCAGCCTGCTTCTAAGAAGCCTCCCCCCCCTGGCCCCCTTGTGCGCGCCGCCAAGGCGTGTACAGCACATGATCGAGAGGTCGTGCTCGTGATACGTTCCAAGCTTTCCAGGATTTCCAGGATTCCCCAATTGTTTCGCAGTGCTCCACACGGACTGCACAAACGACGGGCGCACGGGCGGATTGCCTCTGCTCGCCGCCGAGGAGAGCTGCTTCGAACTGCCGGGCGCCTGCGGGCCCTGCCCCGGGGCAGCCTCGGAGAGCGCGCTGGGCCTCCGAGGACGCCTCGAGAGTGGGGGGGGGGCAGGCCGGCGCAGGCGTCAGGGTTCGCCCCCCTCTCTCCCGTGCTCAGGGGTTCGGCGGCGAGATCCGGATTTGACAGTCAACCCGCACAGCAGGGATGATCGATGTTCCAAGGTTGCCCTTGCATCCTTCCCCTCCGGCCCATCCTTGGCCACTTTCGCTGGCCGCGCCCCGCTCGCAAAGTGTCGACATGGTCTTTCAGGGTCCTTGCACCCTTATCGTGCGTCCTTAGTATACGGGTTGACTGGACACACGCCGACCATTTCAGATCTGATCGCGTCGTAAAAATTCAGGACGGGAGGTTTCTCGCCTGTGTTCGGCCTCTGGGGGCCCTTGCTGGCCTCGGGACCGTCAACGAACGGTCAGGATGAGAAAGCGGTCCCGTGGGAGGGGTCCAGACCTCCAGGGATCGACGTTATGAAGAAAAACGACAAAAGAGGTTATGAAGAAAAACAAAAAAGAACTCGATGCCGCGAGTCTTGGGTACCCGCGCTGACCAACGAGTCAGGCAGTCCGATGGGCGGCGGGTGCGCAGTCAAGACGCTGAAAGACGGACCACGTTGGGCTCAGGAGGGGCTCCCGTGTTCGGGCCGTTCCTTCGCTCTATAGGTCGGTGGATCGTTACATTCGCAGGCGAGGTTCGCAGTGGCCAGGAAAAACCCTTCGTTCTTTGGCGCTCCTTTCAGGAGGAAAAGAAACACACAGACACAATTAATCGTCGATCCCCCAGAAAATATGGGAAAATATGGGAATTGGGTGGGAAGACAAAAACTCAGAAAATATAGGAAAATATGGGGAATAATTTTATTTGTGTGTATTTATTTGTGTGTCCCAGGGCCCCTTCATCCTTGTGGCATTGCACGACGAATGCAGGGGTCGGACTTTGTCGAACACGTGGCGAAGTCCGAAGCCGACACCTCCGCCTCCCGGACCCCCGGCGTCGTGCCTTCTGTTGCAGCGTCGACCCCCAGAGGTCGATCCCTCCCCCAGGGTCGGCTTCTTCAACCGGAGTCGTTTCTGACGGTCCCGGGGCCTGACGAGGGCTCCCGGAGGCCGACGACGGTGAACATTCGGGAGCCTTGAGACGGGGGTCAATGCAAACGGGGGTCAGCCACGGCACCAGATCCTGCAGGATCCTGCGAAGACCCCCTCTGGCTGACCCGGGTTAGCGAGCCGCTCGTGGCCGCGAGGTGGCCGCACAATTTGGCTGACCCGGGTTTGCGAAGACCTGCGTTGCAGTTTTTTTCCTACATTGCAGTTTTTGGTTTCCTGCTGACCCGGGTCTGGACTGACCCGGGTCAGAAGATCCCCGAAACATCCTCCCGTCGTGACTTGGGGGTCTGGTCTCCCATCGATTCCAGAGGAGCCATGGTCGGTGGGGCGGGCTCGGACGCCGCCCCCCAGGCGTGGCCCCGCACCCCCTACCTCTGCGCCCTCGCGCCCACGCGCGAGCTGGCGTGCCAGATCGAGTCCGAGGCCCACAAGTTCGGGACGCTGTCGGGCATCCGCACGGCCTGCTGCTACGGCGGGGCGCCGCGGGGCCAGCAGCTCGGCGCCCTGCGGCGCGGCGCCCAGATCGTCGTGGCCTGCCCGGGCCGGCTGAACGACTTCATCCAGAGCCGCGCCGTCGACCTGAGCAGGGTGCGGGGGCGTCCTCGGTCTCTCTCTCTCTCTCTCTCTCTACACCTTGGGCGATGCTTAAGAAAACTCAAGTTTTCGGCCAGAGTCTCGATTTTTCTTAACGTTTCAATGTGAATCCTAAGATTTCAATGGAAATGTTGGGTTTTTTATCCAATTTCTGAGACTATGAATTTCTTAACCCATGATTTCTAAAACATTTCGCAGGGTGTAGTGCCGCAAGCTCGGATTTTGGCGGCGGCGCCGCCACAAAGAGTGCCCCGGATGCGAGCTTCGCCGAGCGCGTTCCACGACTCGCAGGGTGCCTACTCGCTGACGTCCGAAGAAAAAAACTGGTCTTCCTTCGTCTGCGGCGGATCCAGGCCACCTGCGAGTAGTTCATTTTCGAGGAGTGGAAAGCGCTTGTCCAGAGATATCGAAGTGGGCATGTTTGTTTTGGCGGCGGCGCCGTTGGTGAACCACCGAGTGCCCCTCGCGCGGTGTGGCCTGTCGCCGGTCACGTATTGTTTTATGTGTGGCGCTGGCGTCGCCAACAGCTGCCCCATGGAACAAACTGAGCAAAATGTAAGAAAGTTGGAGTAGGGGGGGGGGGCTTAGGGAGGGGGAAGCAGCTTCGATCTCGAGGCTCGGGGTTGTCGGACGTCTTCGTCGGTTCTCGGCAGCTTTCCAGCCTCGGGGTGCCTTCAGCGGCTGCGCCTCGCCGAGAGCGTTCCGGGGGCGCCCGGAACGTCCCGAGCGGCCGCCGTAGACCTGAGGTGTGGCCCGAAAACGGGACGACGAGGATCATGTGGGGGGATACACCTTAGGCGATGCTTAAGAAAACTTAAGTTTTCGGCCAGAGTCTCGATTATTCTTATGTTTCAATGTAAATCCTAAGATTTGAATGGAAACTTTAGGTTTTTATTCAAGTTCTGAGACAATGAATTTCTTAGCCCATGATTTCTTAAGCATTTCGCACGGTGTAGGCCCGAGGGGTCCAATTGTCCACTCATCGCCGATGGGGGCCCAACAGCCAACCCCGCCCAGAGCCGTGCGGCTTCGCCACCGCGGGCCCATCGCCGATCTGTCTGCGACGCATCGCCGACTCCAGGCCGACGCTTCCCCCGCTGAGCCAGTCCCCCCCCCCCCTCTGGGTCCCCTCAAAGTAGGGCGACGAGATCTATACATATCCACTGCTCCTGGCCAGGCCCATCCTGGGCCCAGGAGCTGTGTATATGCCTCCCTGGCCAGGCCAGGAGGGCGTGTACACCGCTCCTGGGCCCAGGATTGGCCTGGCCAGGAGCAGTGGATATGCATAGATCTCGTCGCCCTATCAAAGGTGGGCTACCTGGTGCTCGACGAGGCAGATCGGATGCTGGATATGGGCTTCGAGCCGCAGATCCGGCAGATCATCGCGGCGATCCCCTCCCCGAGGCAGACGCTGCTCTTCACGGCGACCTGGCCGAAGGAGGTCCGGTCGCTGGCGAGCGAGTTCTTGACGAAGCCCTTCCATGTACAGACGGGCACCGTCGACGCGCTGACGGTCAACAAGGACATCAAGGGCTCCCTCGAGGGCGCGAAGTTATTCGCGCTTCGCGGTCCTCGTTCCTTCTCCCCCTCCTCCTCGTCCTCCTGTTCTCCCTTTGGGAGGGCGGCGCGAGAGCGCGAAGTTATTCGCGCTTCGCGCAGCGCGAAGCGCGAAGTTGGGAGCCCTAGGACATCGAGCAGCACGTCATCTTCGTCCAGTCGGAGCAGGAGAAGACGCCGCAGGTCGTGCAGATCCTGCAGGGCATCCCGCGGGGGTCCCGCTGCCTCGTCTTCTGCGAGACGAAGCGCACGACCGAGATGCTCAACTCCGAGCTCGTGCAGCGCTGCGGACTGAGAGAAGCAGAAAGCAGCACGACGACGTAAAAGCAGCGGGCCGCGCGCGGCCCCAGTTCGGGGAACGGTTCCCCAGCGACATTGCTTGGCATTGCGTTGCCTTGCCTGGCATCCTTTGGCGTTTCTTTGCTTTGCTTTGGGTGGCATTGCTTGGTATGTCTTTGCATTGCTTGGCATCGCTTGGTATCGCTTGGCATTGGTTTGCTTTGTATTGTTTCGCGCTGCTTGGCATTGTTTGCATTGCTTGTCATTGATTTGCATGTGTTGGCATTGTTTGGTATTCCTTTGTGTTGCTTGGCAGTTCTTCGCATTTCTTTGCATCGCTGTGCATTGCTTGGCATCTCTTTGCATTGCGTTTCGTTACTTGGCATCGCTTTGCATCATTTAGTCATGATTTGCGTTGCTTCGCATTGCTTAGTATTGCTCGGCATTGCTTGGCACTGCATGGCGTGGTTTCAAGAACAATAAGGAAACAAGGATAAGGGACCCAGGGAGTCCAGAGAACCCCGAGGAACGCGAGGCCAGGGAGCTTGGGCAAGGCCTTGCAAGGAAACAAGGCCAGGGAACGCCGGGGAACCCTGTTGTAGGGAAACAAGATCAGGGAATTCCGTGGAACTCCGGCGCGACCAGGTCCGGCACTCACCGGAGTCTTCGACGACAATTTGGCACCCTTCAGGTAAATCCTACTTGGGTAAACATGGGCCACTCACAAGCGCCCTCATGCCGCGTCGGCAGTCTGCGTAGGCCTTCGCCTGAGGCTGACTTGTCCTCGGGCCACACCCGTTTTTTCTCGTCTCTCACGTGAGCATACATTCAAGGCGCTGCAATAAGGACCACTGTGGGCTTAGGGTTGGCTCTGCCTCGTCGAGAGCCTCCCTTGGGGGGGCGCTCGGGGGTGGACAGACCTCCTGCCCTGACACGTCGATTAGTGAATTGGCCGTTTTCGGTTCGCGAGAGGGCGTCGCGGCCGTCATTTTTGCGGGTCCAGGTCCGTCGGTTTCGGTCCCAGGCCGTTTTCACTAGGGGGAGGTCTACTAAAGGGAGGTTTGTCCACCGCCGAGGCGCAGCGTTCCGAACGGCCAGCCGCGAGGCCCGAGCTGTCGCGCGGAACCCGCCAGGCGTCGAGGGGGATGGGGACGAGGTGTGTGCGTGTGTGCGTGTGTGCGTGCGTGCGTGAGTGTGTGAGTGTGTGAGTGTGTGCGTGTGTGCGTGTGTGCGTGTGTGCGTGTGTGCGTGTGTGTGTGTGCGCGTGAGTGTGTGCGTGTGCGTGCTCGTGTGGGTGTGCGTGCGTGTGGATCAGCCCCGTTTCGCTTCCTCGCCAGCGCAGTGACTCTGCCTAGCCGCCGACGTAAGAAGTGTGCGTGCGTGCGTTCGTGTGTGTGTGTGCTTGTCTATATATATGTGTGTGTATATATATATATACATGTGTGTATGTGTGCACGTACGGCTCGGACGGTAGGACGCGCGCGCATCTGCTGCTTTCGGCCTTCTACGCCTCGTCGCTGCGCGCCAGGCCGCGACGCCGGAAAAGTGTGCGTGTGTGTGTGGAAACGATGAACGACAGGGCTGGTCTTTTGTCGGTTCCATTTTGCCGTTTTGGTTGCTGGTTCGGGCGCTGTTTTTTTGGTTCCATCGCCGTTGTTTTGCCCGTTCTGGATCTAATTCCGGAGCATTTTTTGTGGCCGCTTCCGGTTGCCCGCTTTTTTACATTGGTCTCATTTTCCAAGAAACATTTTTTTCGGAAGCGGTGCAAAAACGGACCTGCCACTTCCGGGGCCCATTGAGATCCCGGCCGCCCTCCTCGGCGCACCCGATGGGCGCCGTGTGGGGGTCGAGCGCGTGCGGGGAGGTCGTCCGAGGACGCGCGTCTGGAAGCTGGAGCTGTCTGGCGGTGCGAGGTGGCCCGGCACGGGTGGTTCCGGCCAGCAGCAGGGGGCGAGCGGGCTCGAGGCTCTGGGTTCCGGGAGGCTTTGGGCCTCTCTTCTGCCTCGGGGGACCGTTCTCGGGCCCTGGGAGTGCGAAACACAGGTCCGGGGGGAAGAACCTGCGCCGGAGGGATCCCGACAGGGTTTGGGGATGGATTTTGAGCGAATTTGGCTTCTCGTCTGCCTCGGGGGCCCGTTCTGGGGCCCCAGGACTGCGAAGCACAGAGCCGGGGTGAAAGCCTGCGCCAGAGGGACCCCAGAAGGGGTTTGGGGCTGATTCTAAGCGGAGTTGGCCCCATCCCCCTCCAGGCCACGTTTCTAGCTGGGTAGTCGAAGGCCAGACTGTCAGATTGGGTTGGGCCCCACGGGCCAATCTGGCCTGGCCAAACTGGATGATTTGGGTCCTTCGCCAGAATGGGTTCGCGCTGGCTCCCTCGCCAGATTGCCCCCGTTTGCCAGACTGGGCCTGCCAGATTGGCGCCAGATTGGCTTCGACTACCCAGTCTACACCTTAGGCGATGCTTAAGAAAACCTAAGTTTTTATTCAACTTCTGAGACTATGAATTTCTTAACCCATGATTTCTTAAGCATTTCGCAGGGTCCAGGGCCCAACCGGTTGAGACCTCCCGGCCGCCTTCGAGTCCCTGGAGAATGTCTGTGCTGAATCGCTGCGGTTGCTGGCCCCCGACAGGAGTGTCCAGCGTGAGGATACACGGCGACATGGCTCAGTACGAGAGGACTCGATCCGCTTGAAAAGGCATGGAGCGCACACGGCCGCAGAGTGCAGGGAGGGGAGGAGGAGGAGGAGGAGGAGGAGGAGGAGGAGGAGGAGGAGGAGGAGGAGGAGGAGGAGGAGGTCCGCGCGCAGCTCTGGGGTTGGCGCTGGGGCCCCCTGGCGGCGCCTCCGGCGCCACCCTCTGGCGCGCTCCGCGCGTCAGGGTTGGGGGGCTCTCCGCCGACCAGGAAGGGGGGGTCCTGGGGGAAGCAGGCCCTCGACCCCGTGGCCTGCCCAGGGCCAGCTCTCCATCCCGAGTCGTCTTCGGTCGGCCCTGGGGCCTGGGTCGGGCCACCTGGGCCCGAGAGCGCGAAACGATTCCAGGTATACCCTGTCCTCCATGACCAGCTTCCGTCACGCTCGGACGACGACGACTGCGACGACGGCCATTTCCTCGGACCTGTCCTGGGGTCCGTTCTGGCCAGAATTCCGAGGGGGATCTGGCCCAGCGTTCCCGAATTCTCTCAGAGCGTTTCGGAGCGTTTTGGAATGGCCGCGGCGCCCGATACATCCTCCAGAACCGCCAGAGACCTCAGAGATCCCCGATTTCTCGTGCTCCGATTTTGTCCTGGTCCTGTAAAAGACCATTGAACGACCAGACAAACGCGGTCGTCTGCACGGAATTTGGCGCGCAAGTTGCCCCCGTAAGGGCGTGTGTGTGAGCGATTTCGTCTCCAATGCGGCGCGCCGCGTTGGCGGCCCGCGTAAGTCACCGCGTAAGATCGCTATGCCGTCTCGCGAAAGACCCGTCTCTTTTCGTGGCTCAATTATTGTAATTTTCTCTTCTGGTCTTCTTCAGAGCCCCGAATCATCAGGGGTAACTCGGGTCAGGGATAACTCGGGTTCGTTTTTCGGGAATCCAAACCCGAGTTACCCCGGACCCGAGTTACCCCGGATAACTCGGGCGTCCAGAGCCCCGAATCATCAGGGCTAACTCGGGTCAGGGATAACTCGGGTTCCTTTTTCGGGAATCCAAACCCGACTTACCCCGGACCCGAGTTACCCCGGATAATTCGGGCGCCCAACTTCTGAGGACAGCCGCGCTGGATTCCTTCAAGAACGGCCGGAACTGTGTCATGGTGGCCACGGACGTGGCGGCCCGCGGCATCGACGTCAAGGGCGTCACCGTGGTGATAAACTACGACGCGTCGGGCTCGGCGAAGGAGAAGGGGGGGGGGCATAATAGTGACGACCCAGACCTCCTTGCGTGGCTCGAAGTAGTTCGTCACCACCCACCACACCACCCCAACCCAACCCGAAGGCCTCAATTTGCCCTCCATTTCCAGTTGGGGGGGCTCGGGGAACATTGAAAAAACACATATGGAACCCGTACCCCCCCCAACCCGAAATTGGGGTCTTCGGGTTGGGTTGGGGTGGTCTGGTAGGTAGTCAGTTCGCTCAGCATGAACATAGGCTGTAGGAGTTCCGTCTGGATTTCGTGGATCTGCGCTGGACGCCCCTGGCGGCGCCTCAGGCGCCGCTCCCGGCGCGCTCCGCGCGCCAGGGAAGGGGGTCCAGCGCCGATCCGAGAAATCCGCGCGGAGCTCCGACATTTTTTGTTTTGGGTATGGCATCGTTTTTTCCCCGATCTTCTTCCTCCCTGAGATCCTGGCGTCGCGGGAGGGGCCTTGAGCAGCACCAGCGCCGCCCTGCTCCCTCCTCTCTCCTTTCTCCTCCCCCAGCCCAGCTCCAGGCGTCGCAGCTCTCGGCGCTTCTCGGGCGTGGCGAAGTCCAAAGAAATCCGCGCGGAGCTCCGAAAGCTCATGTTCTTGCGTCCCAGACATCCACGGCTTTCTTGTTTGCAATCCGGCATCCCCGGAAGTCCTGACCCATTCCCCAGCACCGGCTTTTCATCCTGAGTCGTTTTTGTGGTCCCGGGGCCCAGCGAGGACCCCAGGGCCCGGAAGCAGCGAAAAGTTTCCCGTCCTGATTCTCCCTGACGCAATCATGTTTGGGGTCTCGTCTGCCTCTCACAACGACGCAGGCCTCCTCGTGCTGTGAACAGCAGAAGTACGGCGGAGGGTCTTGCGTCACTTTCCGCCCCTCGGGTTCCTCACCTGGCGTCCCAGGCCACGTCGAGACAAAAAACAAAGATTGCGACGCCGGAGGTCTTGGGTCGGGGAAACGAAGACTCGCGTTCGCCGGATTTCGGGTTTGCCGGCGGTTTTTGACGTGCCCGCCCAGGATTGGGAAGGCACAGCTCTCGTGGGGGGTCTGCGGCGAGAGCTCGCCTCGAGTTGCAGACTGGGCCTCGTCATTCTCATGATGCCCCCGTCGGGCCCACCCGAGTCCCCCGAACCCGAGTCCCACGTCTCCCCGACACGAGAATTATTGCGACGTCGGAGATTTTGAGGAGGATGAGGAGGAGGAGGAGGAGGAGGAGGAGGAGGAGGAGGAGGAGGAGGAGGAGGAGGAGGAGGAGGAGGAGGAGAGGAGGACGGGCGGCGCAACTGGGTGTGGCGCGAGGGGCTGCCTCCCCAAGAAGGCCAAGGGGCCTTGGGAGAAGGCGGGAAGGGACCGGAGGCTCCCCTCCTCCTCCTCCGCTTCCTTCTGCTCCTCGTCCTGATCCGCCTCCTCCTCCTCCTCGTCCTGATCTGCCTCCTCCTCCTCCTCCTCCTCCTCCTCCTCCTCCTCCTGCTCCTGCACGGCAATGACAACCACTTGCAGATCCCAGATCACCAGAACAGCATCGGGTACCACATGGCAGGCTGCAGAGGACCCCAGCGTGGCGAGAGGTCAGGCCACGGAGGACCCCAGCGAGGTGAGGGGCTAAACCGCACCGACCCCCAGCGAGGCGAGGGGTCAGGTCACAGTGGGCCCCAGCGCGGTGAAGGGTTAGACCGCAGCAGGCCCCTGCGTGGAGAGGGGTCAGGCCACGGAGGGCCCCTGCGCGGCGAGGGGGTAGGCCGCAATGCACCCCAGCGTGGCGAGGGGTTAGGCCACAGCCCTGCGCCAGACGGGATGCAGAGGGGTGCCCGTCCCCCACCAGCAGGACGGAGCACCATGGACATGGCAGACCTCGACCACTTCCTAGACGAGGAGAACAGCGAGGATTGCCTCCAGCAGCCCGCAGACAAGCAGGACAGCGATGACAACCACCAGCAGATCCCAGATGTACAGCACAGCATAGGGTACCACCTGGCAGACCGCAGAGGACCCCAGCGTGGCGAGGGGTTAGGCCACGGAGGACCCCAGCGCGGTGAGGGGTTAGACCGCAGCAGACCCCAGCATGGTGAGGGCTTTGGCCACGAAGGACCCCAGCACGGCGAGGAGGCAGACCGCAGAGGACCCCCGCGCGGCGAGGGGTTAGGCCACAGAGGACCCCAGCGCGGTGAGGGGTTAGACCGCAGCAGGCCCCTGCGCGGCGAGGGGTTAGGCCACGGAGTACCCCAGCGCGGTGAGGGGTTAGACCGCAACGATCTCCAGCGTGGCGAGGGGTTAGGCCACGGCGGGCCCCATAGTGGTGAGGGGCTAGACCGCAGCAGGCCCCTGCGCGGCGAGGGGTTAGGCCACATAGGACCCCAGCGCGGTGAGGGGGTAAACCGCAACAGGCCCCAGCGTGGCGAAGCACCCAGCGCGGTGACTGGTTAGACCGCAGCAGCCCCCAGCGTGGCGAGGGGTTAGGCCACGAATTTCCCCAGCGCGGTGAGGGGTTAGACCGCACCGACCCCCAGTGTGGCGAGGGGTCAGGCCACGACGGACCCCAGCGCGGTGAGGGGTTAGACCGCAGCAGACCCCTGCGCGGCGAGGGGTTAGGCCACCACGGAGCACCCCAGCGCGGTGAGGGGCCATACCGCAGCAGGCCCCAGCGCGGCGAGGGGTCAGGCCACGGAGGGCCCCTGCGCGGCGAGGGGGTAGGCCGCAATGCACCCCAGCGTGGCGCGGGGTTAGGCCACAGCCCTGCGCCAGGCAAGGCGGCCGTGAAGGCCCACGAGTCCAGGGACCAGCGGCCAGGGCGGTCCCTGGAAGAGCGCAGAGCGGAGGAGCGGCTGCGGCCGTCCATCAGGCTGCTCCTCAAGCTCTGAGAGGGCGGCGGCAGCATTTCTTCAGACTGCCGCCGCTCGCGGGGCGACTCCAGGAGTCATCGAGTGGCGGCAGCAGGACGCCGTGAGATGAGGCCGCTGGCCCACCCCGCCTCGGGCGCGTTTTGCCTGCGCGGGGTGCCGAGACCAGGGGCACCCACTCACGGGCGGGAGCACGCGGGTTTAAAACTCCTCCTGCGCCTGCCCCCAGTCGGGACGCTGCGAGGCAAGGGCCGCTTGGGGGCTCGGGAGGGGCCTGTGCAGCGGCGCCTGCTTGTGGCCTCCCAGGCCCGCCGTGGCCAGAGAGGCCCCATCCGCTCTTCGCTGTGCGCTCCTGCTGGCAGCACGGTGGCTGGACGACACGCCCGGAGGGGCGTCTAAGAAGCCATTCGCCTTGTTGGAAGCCCCCCCCCCGGTTTCTTCGAAGGGCGCCCCCTCTCGCGCCACCCCCTGCGCGCCGCCACGGGGAGGACGAGGAGAACCCCGTATATCTCCTCGCGGCGTGGCAGAAAGAGTCAACGACGGAAGGCTTTTGCCCATGTTCGAGGTCGGGGGGCCTCGCCAGGACCGGGGACCAGCGGAACGTGAATCCGGATGAGCTAAGTTAGGATTCGATGTGACGTGGGTCGAGCCTGAGTCGGATCCAAGTAGGACTGGATCCAGCTATAGTCGGATTATGTTCGGGTTGGGCCGAGCCCGAGTAGGATGCCATCAACGCTGGTTCCATCCAGCTTAGGTAGGGCTATTGGAGCCGGATCAGGCCCCCGTAAGATTAAATTAGAGCTGGATTCAGCTATACAGGGATTCTGCTAGAGTTGGATTGAGCCCGAGTAAGATGCGAATAGCATGGCATGGGCTCGTGCACACTAACTCTAGCCATGGCCGGGTTCTATTTGATCGAGCACTGATAGGGTTTTGTAAAATTGGGGGGGGGGGGGGGGGGGCGGCGGCTCGGAACCCCCCCCCATTGAACAGGAGGGGGGGGGGCGGATCGACCCCCTCCCCTTTGAGGGGGGGGGCCCTCCCAGTTAGGGAGGCCTCCTCCTCCTCCTCCTCCTCCTCCTGGGGGGGTCGGCTCCTCGGGCGTTTCAAATGTTTTCAGGGGCGGGCGGCCCGATTCCGACGTGTCGAGGGACGTTTGCCCAAGCAAGGGTCCACGAAACGCGCGCTCTCGTGTCTACGCATGCATGCATGCTTTCTGTACACACGTGTGGCATGTTTCTTATCAGCCCGTTCCCCTTTTCTCTTCCTCCTCCTTTGCATCTGCGGGCCGCAATTCGTGACATTTTCGTTGCGTGCTCCTGCCGTTGCATGAGTCTCCCGCTTGTCGCACCCTGTGTGGTGTGATTCTACCTCGGGCAAACATCCCGTGCCGCGCGCAAGCTGTCTGGCTTCGTCGCGGTCGTTCCCCTGTGTTTGCCTTTTTCTCCTCCAGCCAAAAACGTATGAAGTTCGGGAGCCCCGGGTTGGGACCCCAACCCCCCATGGAGGGCCCGAGGCGTCCTGGCTGGGTCACTGGGCTTTGGGAGCGCTCCTGTGGCGTGGGGAGGCCGAGTGGCACAGTGCCGCTCGGCGTTCGGAGCCTTCCGGGGCCACCTCGGTGGCCCCGGAAGGCTCCCAATGTGGCCACAACGGGTCGAAGAGGCTTCGACAAGCCACGCAAGGCTTCGGAACCACAGCCCACAGGCCCTCCACCAGCAGTGCACGAAGTGAAGCTGCACGATGTTTTTGATCTCCTCAAGGAGGAGGAGGAGGAGGCGGAGGAGGAAAAGGAGGAGTAGGAGGAGGAGGAGGAAAAGGAGGAGTAGGAGGAGGGGGAGGGAGAGGGAGAGGAGGAGGAGGAGGAGGAGGAGGAGGAGGAGGAGGAGGAGGAGGAGGAGGAGGAGGACGATTACGCGTTGCCGTTCTCGCTGCCTCGAGCGCGTTCACGACGGCCCGAGAGCCCAAGACCCCCTCTGAGCTCTGGGTGACCCAAAAGGGGGTCCAGCTGAGAAGGGGGTGGTGCAACAGATCTGCGCATATATCTGCAAATCTGGGGCAATAGAGTTGGTGCAATAGATTTGGGGCAATAGACTTGCAAATATGTACTGCGCCGGGGAACTGTATTGCATTGTATTGCGACGAGTGTATTGCACGCGAAA